GGGTGTGGGTGGGTGTGGGTATGGGGTGTGAGTGTGGGTGTGGGTGTGGGTGGGTGTGGGTGTGGGTGGGTGTGTGGGTGTGTGGGTGTGGGTATGGGTGGGGTGTGGGTGTGGAGTTGGGTGTGTGTGGGTGTGGGTGTGGGTGTATGTTGCAAGAACTTAAATACTCACACCCACACACCCACTCACCCACACCCACGCCCACACACCCACGCCCACACCCACGTCCACACCCACACCCACACCCCACACCCCACACTCCACCCTCATACTAGTGATATGTTGAAAATACTGAGTGACACTATTTTTTTTCCAGCGGTATATATATATTAGGCTATAAGATTTGGAAAAATAAATCTTTTACCATTTTTTCACAGACATGTTTAAATGAACTGAAATTTTAAATTTCGAGGGTTCTCGATACGAGCTTTCATTTGAAATATTTAAGTTGAACATTGGAAAATAAATCGTCAATCTTTATAGTCAGAATTGAACTTCAAATTCAGTCTTTCTAATTGTGCCGATATATACGTCACGGCTGACTGCTCTTCCTCTTTCCTCTTCCTCTCTCTATTCTTCTCTCTATGTTGTCTCTCTCCCTTTGTTTCTGTATCATATATAAGCGTGTGTTGAATGTGAAATAGACACACTCTGGATATGTGAAGTAGCTGAATAAACATCATTACCGTGGGTGGCGGTAAGCTACTCAATCCAGTTTGTCGTTACACTAATCTTGTTCAAAAAATGTTCGTAACAAAAGTTCAAAATACCAAAATTTTGAAAACGGATTCGACGCAGTTTGATGTGCTCTTTCAAATGAAACTATTCTCGACCTGATCTATCGTACTGATTTGATCAACATGCCTTTCTATAGAATCATGCTTTCTGGAAATGGAATATAATACCACCCGAAAATATTAGACAATAAGAAATTTTCAATATCAAGAAAAGATAGCCTGTCATCGATAGTATCTATGGTAAAAACATCTCTATTACAATTCTTGTCATTGTTTAGATAATGAAACTTTACTGAAAGGTATTGCACTATAAGGTACTCCAAATGAGACCCACCCCTCATATTTGTATGATCAATATCTTTGGAACAACTCATTCGTTTGAGCTGAAACTTTTAGTTTCTTCCTAACTTTGTTAGGCCTACCTACTATAAAATGTCAGCCAAATCAGTGAGATCGATTGAGCAAAGTTTTACTGTAACTGGCCATGGTTAACGTTACAAAATCTCTTAGGAAGAAACATTTAGTTTAGACAGTGTAAACACATTTCAATATTCTTGACTTTGTACATGATAAGTTAATCGATATTCTGATGAAATATGTTTATGTATGTTTATTTGAAAATTAAAAGAAAATGTATTTGTGGATGAAACAATAATCAGTGAAAAAGAAGAAATTATTTTTTTCTCCAATCGGAATTTATACCACTTCTATCAACAGTACTACCTCTTTCTCGTCCTCCCGTACGAAAATCTTGTGTCTGCTCGTGTTGGAGTCTTGGTGATCTCCATGGTCGATCAGATTGCCGTTGTGGACCACTTCCATGAGTGATATGGATGGGTGGTGTTGAAAGGAATCTGCATTGATAGCCATCTACTATCAATTCTATTGAATGAAACTGGCTACTCCTAAAATAGATATACACGGTTTATGGGTTTATAGTGAGTTGAGAGAACTGAACAAGATGGGTCTCACCAATCTAGTATTTTGGCTAGGGCGATCTTTTCTGGATCCAAACAATGTTCGATAATAACCAGAAAATATGCTTCCTGTTCTCTTCTTCTTGAGTCATCAGCAATACTTTTGCATTTTTCTTGCTCATTTTGAGATATATGAAAAGATGTATGTTCTTCATGAAAAGATCCACTTGTTCCTTTTACTTCAAAATAACATTTCTTAGTACGTGATTTTGTTCCTTTGGTAAACAACTCCATTGTATCATGTAATTCCAAATCATAACCAGCCGAATCATTCACATCACGTGTATATTGTGGATAAGTTACTAAACGTGCTGATGAACGCCAATTGTTCGTTGGTTGAACATCAATTGTTCCATAGAGTCTTTGTAAATAATCGAAGAAGAAATGCTCAGCATTCTGACCAATACGAATATGTTCTTCACCATCAACAATAGATGGATTCGTCCAGTTGTCTGGTCTTTTTGGCTGTTGAAAACGATGATCTTGTTTTTCTGCACGGATTCGAAAGAGTTCATCGACACCTGAGCGTTCTAAAGTGATCAAATTTTCTTCTGCATCTTGTTCAATTCTGGTAACTCCACTTATTGAGATGGCGATCGACTTAAGCGACTCATGGTCTGTGGGAAATAACAGTTCCACATAGGGATACAAGTCAGCTTTTGCACAAGCAACACGTGCATTTACTCTCGATAAGAATTCATTGCAATCAACGATTTTTTGTCGAGCAGTCAGTTTAGCTTCGTCAAATGGTAGATGTTGTTGACGTTTATGTAATAGAGTAGCTAAAGCTGATATGGCTATGATGGCTCTTGATGAATCATCTTCTACATTACCAGTACACAAAAGGACAGTTTTGTTGATGATCAAAAAAGGATAATCAGTCTCCATTTGACAACGGTATATATCCTTATCATCAGCAGTATCAATGGCAAAGGCATCTGAAATTAGTAAATAAATGTGAGCATACTTTGCACCGACTACTTCGAGCTCATGATCACTGGTTGTTTCTCGAAAAATTCTCGTTAATTGACTAAGATGATATTCCATATTGATGTTTGTATGCGTCCATTCAACTTTTCCTCGTCGTTCAACATAATCGATTCCAAATAGAGCTAATACCAGTGGACATTTTTGAGTGATATCTGGTGAAATAAAATGACGTTTATCACGTGCTCTCGACAAATTTTGAATGATTTTGATTTCAAGACACGCATAGATAATATTCGTTGATGTTTTTGCGATCATCTTATCATCAAAGGTGAGAAGTGGAATAGAAACATTGCTCGTTGAAGTATTCGTTAACTTTTTCAATTCTGATACGATTACCGTCGAAGTCAAACCGAAACGCCACTGAAGATCTTCTCGACTTCCGCAATGTGCTGTAGGATGTTTGTTCGTGATGACAGCACGATAAAGATTACTATCTTGTGCACTATCTGCAACACATTTGCCGATGGAATGCTCGAGATATTGAAAAAGAGTGATCATTGTTTCCAACCCATTCGGTTTGAGTGTTGTCAAACGATTACCCAGTGGATAAAAGTTATGCTTGTCATTACTTGCTAAACAAATGGTTCGATAAATGTTCTCAATCGATACACTACATTGACAATCTAATATATGAAAGAGACCTCTGAACTGCCAATAGGTTTGATTAGTTGTTAGAGAGATCAGTTGTAATTTCAAGTATTTACAAACTAGAAGAATACCTTCTCGATTTTGATCATTGATCTCGGACATAACAAGAAGATGTTTGAGTGAGCAGAATTGTTGTTTATCTGGAAGATATAATTGACATGTCGAGCGAAAACCTTTTTTATCGATATTTTTGTTGTTTTGTCGAACTTCTAGCTGTAATCGACCTAACCATTCAATATACAGGTCGACATTGGTGATCTTTTCATCACCTAAATATTGAAGAATGCTCACACAAGTATTCAAATCATAATCAGTAGAAACACCCATCTTCATGGCTAATGAACGACAATATGAAGGAACATCGATTCGTGGTAATGATGGTAAATCTGTGATAATAGACTGATCGAATGTCGTTTCAATCGGTCGCAGCTGCTCTTCAGAGTTCATTTGGGCAATAATGGGAAATTGTCGCAGAGCTTGTTGAGTATTATCTTGTTGAACTGATAGAATGAATTCACCGAAACGAGCAATATTTTCATCTGTAAACATAGTGAATGATGGTAAACATGGTAGTCGAGCAGTAGTATAATGCTGAGGAAGATTAATCGAAGGTGGTTTACATTGCATTTTCAATAGAAAATATTCCCATTGAAGATTATTGACGAGAGAATTCGGATCAACTTCGTAGTAAGGAAAGTGAACGAACATTACAACTGTGGAATCCATGAAAAATCTCATATCACGGCCGAAGAAAGTTGGTAAAGTTGTGTTTTGAATAAGAGTGAAACGGGATGATCCTTGAATGGGTACAAGAAGTGGTTTAGCTCTGTCTAGTTTATCAATACGAGATTGAAGATAGGATAAATCTTTCCAGATTTCTTCTAACACATCATCATCCACAGGTGTCCTCATCGATTGAATAGAAAGTTGTAAGTGATCAATTTGAATAATATCTATCAGTTCCTGTTCTGTCAAAGATTTCACATGACCTGATCGAATAAGAGCGGTTCGTTCTGTTGTTGATGCATATTGTAGAATAGTCAATCGTCGTTTCCAGATTCGAACCAATCGATCATCATTGATGTAAAGTAATGAGGAGTTTTCACTCATCTTTGGCAGATATTGTCGTTGATGATGATCTTGAAGAAAAAAGATTGGTTTTTGTAAAATGAGATCGGACACTTCTGATGTCATTTCTTCTGATAAATGATGAAAGAAGTGAGACCACCATTGTTGATCTTGTTTTTGTGTCCATCGTAGAAAGTCATTGGTTGGCTCATGTCGATTGGGAAAACATTTCAAAACATCTTTAATAGAAACAGTTTGAATATGGAGAGATTTTAAACGATCGGTGGTAAAGAATTCATCGTTGGAATCAATCACTTGAATATTAGCATAATCATACAATTGTTCTTTGGAGATAAGTGATGATATTTTTGGATTCATTGAGCGAATTTCTTTACCTAAGCATTAATTATGAACGATTCTAGATCTTTTTTTCAAAGCAGAAAACAACAAACTTTACCTGTACCGATATCAAATAAAATTGAAAGATGATTTTCAATCAACTGATTGATACGACCAATCATTGAGCGCCACCAGGATGAATGTTTGACTTGATGAATATTCGATGACGGACAATAATGACTGATATCCTTTTTCAAATCGGTGTCGTTCAATAGGAGATAAACAAAAAGAACAGCTAAATGATCACGCAAGTAGGTATTCAATGGAACATTTTCACGAACATTTTCTCTGCTTGTAACTAGATGAAATTCAGCATTGAACATAAACTTAAATCCAAGATCACAGACAGGTAGACCATTGTAGACCGTAGCAGTGAGATCATAATCATATTCACAAGGAAATGCTAATGTCAACATTGTCATTGGATTTGTTCGTTCTTCTATTGCACTTGGTACATCGATCTGACAGGTATAGACTCGAAACGTTCGTTTACCTGATAGAGTAGACAACTGCGCCTTCAAGCCAACCAAATCAAGAAACTTCAAGCCTTCAAATTCAACAACGTGCTGCGCTACTAATTTTGTCGAACCACTAGAATTTTTTTCAATAATTATTACTTTTTCTTCTCGTTGATCGACGACTTCAACTTTCTGTAATTTCCGCATATTCAACAAAATGCACGGATCAACTGCTTTTGCAACATCATCAAGAAACTGTTTGGCCAAATCTGTATGTGGTGTTAATTTCAGTGGTAGATAGAGATGAGTATGTTGACGATTGGCAGAGATTTGATTTGCAATATATTGAGGAATATCTTGGTCGTTTATCCATAAGGGTGTAATATAAGACATGGCATCAGTGCCAGGAACTTGAAAACGAAACTTCCATGAATGAGAAAAAAGCATCGGTCGATTAGAAGCAGCAAAGACTGATTTGAAACCAACGCCTTTCTCACCAATATGCTTCTGTTCGCTAGTTTTCGTGGTGACTGCCAAACTACAAATAGCCAAAACATCACGAGGTCGAAGACCCTGTTCATTGTTTGAAAATAGTATGTAATCGTGATTTAATTCGATACGTAGATATGGTCTCGATTCACCAACATATGTGTTATCTTCGGCGTTCTACAATAGAAAGTTGTATTAGATATTGAAATCAAGCAGAATTTACCTGAATTAACTCGTGGAGAAAATGTACTGATGAACTGTACAGATCTGAACCCAAGCGTTTCAATGATCCACAGATCGATTTTCGCATATCTTCATCATCAAATTCTGTTCGTCGACGATATATGTCTTCAATGAAACTTTTAGCTTGGTCAGGTGTAATTTGTTGTGGCAATAGATCTTTTAACTGATCAATGATGCCTGTTTGGTTATTGCTGTTCTGCTTAATCGGAACGCTTGTTGTCACTTGTGCAGATTGAACAATAACATTTGTTGGAGTGGCTACTTTGAGACGTTCGATGTCTTGTACTATCTGAATATTCTCTCTTCGATAATGATCTCGTTCTAATTGTGTTTGCTGTAGTTCTTGTCTGAGATGTTCTACTTTTTCATTGAAAGACTGATGTTCTTGTTTGAGTTGATCATAATCATGTTTTAACTGTAAAATATCGATTTTTTTCCATTCAGTTTCGAATAAAACTTGAACTTGCTCTTGCTGTGCTGATATGTCGTCACGTAGAATTGATCTTTGGTATTGTCGATGTAAGTTGTAGTATGACGAAAGTAAATCCTTCGTAAGACATAGGGAGTTCACGAGTGGAGTGATTGGTTGCATTGTTGTTTCAGAATTATTTTCAATGATTTGTTCATCATTCGAAGAGTGAAGAGCGGTATCGTCACGTTTGACTTTTGATTGAATAAGTTGCGTATAGAAACGAAGAGCTATATCGATTTTATCCATATCATAGAAATCAATGTTAACTAAGGATATAATGGTTGTTGGAATCAGTTTCAGTAAACGAGTTTCATTAACTAACGCCAAACTAATCGGAGACGGGCCATTCAATAGAATCGGTGTTAGAAAAGCACATAGATCCAGAACGAACAACAAACTTATGGGAGACTTGTTTGCATCTTGGCTCAATACAGAGAAATGACGATCAGTTAAGACTTCGGCCGCAGTAACAATTTGATGTGTATCATCTTCTGTCACTTGCAAACAATGATCAAAGTGAAAAAAGAATAAAGATGCTAGAGTTTGTAAATGAGCTTGTTTAAGTAAAATCTCGGTATGTTCAAAAGGTTGGCCGTAGAAATGTCGAAAGGAAAAATATCGAAAGGAAAAATGTCGAAAATAGAGGCGCCACTTATCGCATCACTCACATGTTTTCTGGCGCCTCTGTTTTCGACATTTTTCCTTTCGACATTTTTCCTTTCGACATTTCTACGGCACACCGTTCAAAACAATGTTTTGTTGCCAGAGATAATGGTGATTCTGGATTGTTTGGTCTAATCAAGTGATACTGATGATACATGTCGATTTCGAGGGCAAAATATGATACTTACTTCGCATCTGTTTTTTCATCCCACAATTTTCTCAGTTGTTGAAAAGGTGACAAAAGCCATTTGATCGCATCTAAGATTTTTCGTGCTGTCAATGGATCATGTTTTAAATAAGCACCAGCATATTTATGTTCATTTTGATCAGCATTGAGTATCCTCGAACAAAGGTGAAGACCACCGATGACAAGAGCATAATGCTGTTGACTAACAAGCAAGAGACTCAACGTAAAAATTTCTGATGTATTGTTGAATAATTCATGACGAAAGACGAAATGTGTGACCATTTTACAGATGACCCAGATGATTGCATAAAGAAATGGAACTGTTGCATCATCATAATTCTGAAGCAATCGAAGAGCATAAAAAATCATTTGCGCTGCGACTGTATTCGAATTTTGAGGATCTGATTCATTAAATCCGCAAAGTAGTTGCCGTTTGTATGCACGTTTTCGCTCTTTATTCACGCAAGTAAATTCATTAACTACCAAATGAATTACTTCACGAGCTGCTTGACCAGCTGTATCATAATGTTTCAAACGAGTAACGAGAGATTCTAGTGGGATTTTTGAATTTTCTCCATAAGATTTCAATAAGTTCCCTCTGACGAATTTGACATCTATTACTTTTCGATGGCGATATTTCAATAATTTTTTCATTGAAGATCGAAGATCACTGTTGATAGATGAATATTTAGAGCTACGCTGTCGAAATAAATGTTTCAAGATTTCTTGTAATTCATTATTATTGAAATCTTGGCTCTCTTCGATAAGTATTGTGTGTTCTTGAAGACCTTTGGATGAGTTCAAAAAAGAAAAGAATGCTTCAATGCGTTGTTCATATTTAGGATAAGTATTGTTTTCATAATCTTCAAAAGCTACGTTCCGACATAGCCAACTTTCAAAGAGTTGTTTTTCGTTGACTATTAAACCGAGAACAGCAAAAGTGTTGGTAACAAGTGGTACGTTTTGATCTTTCAGGTTGATGAATATGTCAAGTACGACTGGTTCCAAATATATCGATCCATAGAGTAGAACCCAACTAGGAAGTTCTACTTTCGCTGGTGGTTCTTGTAGATTTTTATCCACTTTTTCATTGAGAAGATCAAGAAGATGTTTTTGAAACATTTCACCTTCGCTAGTATCCGATGAATTATCAATACAATACGGAAAACGTAAAAATCCATAGCAACATTTATCTGATGAATCTGTTGTCGACGAATCGATCTCTGAGACTGAATTTCGAAGATTATGTATCCGACTGTTAATGCTCATTAGTGTATCATAATTGGTCAAACTGCTATCCGGTATTGGTGTATTTGTTTCGGGATATTTTTGAAGTAAATATGTTGTTCGCTGATATGCAACACTGTCTGGTCCACAAGCAAGAATAATGAAATTTACTCGTGCTTTAGGTTGGCCAAAGATTTGACAGCAGGAACACAAAGCATCGGTCATGATTTTTATCTGAAAATATCGAATAGAATTTCTGTACGGAACCAAGTTTAAATCGATATCGGTTCAATCCAAGACGAGACTATTCTTACACAAGTTAAGAAAATATTTGTAACCTTGATGTTTGAATTGACTGTTGAAAATGGAGTTTACAACCATGAGTTCAGATTCATTGCTAGAAAAAAGAATGCTTTCTGAGAACGAAAGTTGATTGGATTTTTAGCAAACGCTTGAACTATTTAGATCATGGAAAACATAAGCACAATGCAGTAAGAATCCGTAGATTTCAGTATTTGTAAATTTCTTGGAGCTCAAACGATAACACAATTTTTGTCATTGTTGCTCTTTCAGGATTGAGATAAGAGAGGCCATCTGGTCAACGCGTTACTTACTTTTAACACTGGAGGATATGACAGAAGTTTTTAGATAATATATATTGGTAAATCCAGGGGCAGAAGTCAAATCCCAGAGCAGGGGACGTCAGTCTTTGTTTTTCTGTTTTGGTGTTCAAAAACAAACCAAGTTTTTAGAAGCATGGAGTGTAAACACCGTTTTTTCCTACTAATTTTCAGAAGAAAGGAGGACTTTACGCCCCTCCTATTTACGCTCGTGAGTAAATCCATAGGGCTTCTTACTGCTTTTATGGAATAAACTTTTTTCAATGTTACTAGTCTACTTAGATGTATCATCGTCGAAAACGGTCAGAAGTAACAACTGCAATGTTTTTAAACATATGTGTAGATCCAGATTAATTTTTAAGAACAACTAAGCACATGTGCACATATACGAAATAATTCTCATGGGGAAATTATTTGGTATCTATGTAAATCTGCTGAGTCATCCCTAAAAAATGACCTGTATCTCTATACTTTATATGTCTAAAAAGATGATAACTGTTAACTCTAATCGTTTTCGACGATGATACATCTAACTACACCATCAAAATCGAGAAAAAAACACAAATAGAAAAATAAATTCTTACAATGTGGTAGAAACACTGGCAAATTTACCCACACATGAAAACGATTTCTTTTTTTCCTTTCTTTTCTAAATATTGCACTGCAATGACATCATTTCTTCCCCTCGTTATACAACGCTTAGAAAAGAATTAAAAGAAAGAGAAAAACAAGAATCGTTTTCGTATATATTGCCTAGAAACTTCTTTCGTATCATTGAATGTGAAAAATGATCTTTCGAAAGACGTTGCAAGCTTCACTGTAATTTCTATGCGAATTAAATAAATGATTGGTGCACTAGTTTATCTTAGACAGCGTCAAATACCGATACTGTTCTGAATAATGAACGCTATATCTTAATTATCACTTATGGAGTGTAGAGATCTGTTTTTGTCAATATCTTTTTCTGTACGATGTGAGAAGTCATCGATTTTGCAGAATGACATAATGACTGCTAGTAGATGCGTGCATAATGAATGGACCGATCTCGATCCCGGCGGAATCGAGATCGGGACCAAAAATGGCTGGTCCCTAATTCAAACCGTGTGACATCGATATAAAGCATTGTAAAATGTGTTCGTGTTCTTGAAGAGCATGAATCATGAGTAACAGAAACAGTGACACTCCTACATGGGATCCTACTAATATTTCTGAACCTTTGATGAATTCTCTTTCTTCTGTTTATGTTGGTCGTTAGCGATGGCACTGTTACTTTGTTTCCAAAACTGAAAGGAAGGTTAACTAGCTTTCAACTTTTCTTTCATAAAAAGTAAGGAAACGGAAGTCGAAAAATTCCCTTTTTGTTTTTTATCTACTACAAGCAGCAACCAACTTTTCTATGCGCTTCTACAAAGAGAAAAATTTATTAAAGTCTGAAAGAAAGTAAAAACAAAATAAAATTGTTGAATTAATCATTTTGTTTTCGAAAAAATGACATATTCGAAATCAACATTAACACATTGGGCACGATGTGGCCCACCGGTGGGCCACGCTATGGTTTTACGAGTAACTGTATAGAAGAACACTTTCTTTTGATTTTTTCTTAGGCACGAGGTTATAAACATGAAGTGTCAGTTGTTCTGTGTTCAGTGCTTTATTTGCGTCCTTTATTCCATAGGATAATGCTTGTCATTAAAACACTCTAGACAAAAAAACTTATCACAGTCAGAACAAAAAGTTTTCACTTTCTTTGCTGCCGCATAGCTTGCTTCTCTTGACTGTTGTGCCTTTCCCTTCGCATAGCAGCTAGTACATCGTCTGCCAACATTGCGCGTAGATCCTTCCTTTTCTTCGAGCTTGTGATCAGCGAGTTTGCGCTTGGAATGACTTGCTGATTGTTGTATCGGACCAGGTTTTAGCTTCTCGATTGGCGCACCAAGGAGTAAAGATCGTACAAGACTTTCTCGAAACTGTAAAATCTGTATGTTGCTCGCCGCATAATTTTCCTTGTAAATCAGAT